TACACTGTGGAATGATGGTCTCTTCCTCTCTTCCATTCCTGGTCATGGTATGAACAGCTTCCTGTGCCATGAACCCTCACCATGATGTGCTGCCTCACCTCAAGCCCAAAAGCAATAGGTCCAACAGACCATGGGTTGAAACTCAAAAGATATGAGCAAAAACAAACCATTCCTTAGCAAGGCATGATGGTGTACACTTGTACTCTCACTACCAAGGGAGCTGAGGCAAAATAATCATGAGTTCAAGGACAACTGGATTACTTAGCAAGTTAGAAGAAAGCAAGAACATAGAAAGACCATGTCTCAAAATTAAAATAAACAAAAACATTTCTCTTTCATAGAAGATCATGACAGGTATTTTGCCAATATAGAGATATACAGGTTTTTGTTTTATTTTTTGTTCTTTGGGTTATTTTTAATTTTGCAGGGGGATTGAATGCAGGGCATTAACACTGGTCCTCATCCCCAAACCTTTTATTTCTTTTTTTACATGATCTTTCTTTTTTTATTAATTTTGTTGAGAAACAAATATCAATGAGACAGTCATAAAATCAATTAATAGGACAATTTCAATGATTAATACATTGCATATTATTGTCCTCATAGTTGTAATTCATCATACAAGATGCAGACATGATATCCTGTCCAAACACTACTAGTAAAAATCTTTCTTCTCATTGAATTAAGAGAAAGTAGCTGTATATCTATCCTATTTTGAAAATACAGATACAAAATGGTCCCTCATTTGTATCCCCTGTTTTTTGTTTGGTTTTGTCAGAGATGGGTATTCCATTGCCACTGAAATATTGTAGGTGCATGAATTCAGCAAAATAATCCAATATAGACCAGTAGTCCATAATAGTAGTGGGCTATCCATAGGACTGGCAATGTCAGAAGTTGTTGACTTGAGTTTTTCACAGCTCAATATATTAATATGGCTTTACTTTTCATATCTTATTGTTATACATTTCTGCTGGAAGATTAAGACCAAGATAAAGCAAGATCTATATAACAAGAAATGTAACGTTTGTATCTGACAAGGTCAGTCAAACCCTCTCAGGATTTACCCTGAAACCAGGTACCGCACTTTGTAGATTCTTTGTCAGTGTCAGTCATGTGGATGAGTTGTGGCCATTGCTTGACCAATTTGCTTTCTGTGAAAGCCTGAGAGAATGCTTTCTCTCCATGTGACTCTCCTTAGGCACACTCTACATTGTCAATCACTTTCCTGTGTGGCCCCATAATCTCCTTGATCAGAAAATGTGGGACACAACTGGGTTACAGAATGTTACAGTACGGGTTCTCTTATGTCCTCAGTCCTCACTGACCTTGAAAGGCTAGGGTCAAAATTTTGGTTGTCCTTGCAGCCCTTCTTTTTCTCTAATTTTGGGTCTGTTAACCCTACAGAAGAGAAGCTTAATGATATTATTACCCTAAAAACATAGGCAGTTGAGCTTAACTTCACTATCTATCTGAATATCAAACATCTTAGACATAACACAGAACAGGTATTTTCCATCACATATTGATATGTTAAACTTTAAATCCCTACAGAACATGAAGAAAAAATAAATTTAAAAAAATTTTAAATGAAATAAACAATTACATATTTTTACACAGAAATTTAGAAATCTAACCATATATAGCATTGTAGCAGGACAATCCCATGACTTTTTCCTTGTCTCTTGTTTTCATTTATTACCCTTTTAAAAAAAATATTTACTTGAGAGACAGTATAGCAGTAATTGATACAACATGACAAGCAATTTGTATTTAGAAGACCAGAATGACAGGCATTCCAAGTGTGATCCTTCTATTACACATTGCTATCTTCAAAGCAGTTGCTTGGTTCACAGGTATCAGCATGCATAGTTAGTGAGGGTGAGAATCCTACCAATTAACTGCTATTTTCAAAAATCTGCTTATGTTTCTCAGGATCATTGCCTTACCCATCTTTTGTGTATAAGTGCATGGTTTTGCCCCTGTCATGTTTCCTAGTTTTTCTCCTTTCCCTCTCTTAATTGTTTAATCCTTAAGTTCTTGCTTTCCTTTTAATTGTGTCACACCTTTCTATTTGTATTTCTTCTTTTGAGTTCTTACATTAGGGAGACTATATGATATTTACACGTGTGGGTCTGGTTTATTTCAATTATGAGTATGTCTTCAAGTGGCATCCATTTAAATATAAATGCTTCGAGTTTATCATTCTTTATAACTGAGTAATACTCCATTGTATAAAAATACCACATCTTTTTTATCTATTCCTCAGGTGATGGGCATCTTGGTTGTTTCCAAGATTTGGCTATCACAAATTGTGCTGCTATAGACATAGGTATGCATATATCTCTATGATATGATATTTTCAGTTCCTCTAGGGAAAATTCTCAGTAAGGGGATAGCTGGTCCAAACCTTATATTTTGAGACAGTGATTCTCTAAATTGCTAAGTTGCCCAAGCTGAACTCAAACTTGAAATTATCATGGGAAAGACTTCTTTGAGGTATTATTTTTCTAGCACTGCCTGAACAAAGTACCACAAACTGGAGGGCTTAAACAAATACATTGATTATTTCACAGTCCTGGAGGCTAGAATTATTAGATGAAGGACTTGGCTCCTTTTAAGGCCTCCCTCCTCAACTTGTAAAAATGTCACCTCCTCCCTGTCTCCTATGGCCTTCCCTTGTATGTGTCTGTGTCTTAATCTCTTTTTCATATAAAAACATTAGGCATATTAGATAAGGGCTCACCCTCAACCCTCATTTTAACCTAATTAAGGCCAAGATTCCAAATGCAACACATTCTGCAGTACTGTGGTTTAAGACTTCAACAAGTGAATTTTAGGGGAACACAATTCAGCCCTTCACACTCCCCCTACCACAAGTGGTGGAACTGATACTCAATTTAGATTAAAATCACCACAGTTAGAATCCAGGAGTATAGTTCAACAGCACAGCAACACCTGGCAAATGCAAGGCCCTGAGGTCAATTCCTGGTTTAAAAAAGAAAAAACTAGAAAATACAAATTGTACTTCCAAACTGGCCATTAACTAGGTATTAGAAAGCTCCAAAATGTCTGAGTCATTAATGCAGAGAAGTTCCTAAGAAATGTTATTTTTTAACCTTATAAAAATATTGTGTTCAATTTTACTATCACAAGACATTGTGATTCACAAACAATACTACCTGTTTTTTATGAACAGAATATATTTATTGAGGGAAAGAAAGCTCCCATCTACAAGAAGGATGGAGGGAGGGGTTGTCCCTTATACTACCTCCTTTTATAAAAAAAAAACAAAAAACCCACCTGAGTTTTGATTTTTTAAAATGAAAACATTAAAAGGAGGCAGCTGACATGAAGCAACAACCCTTCTAATGCTTCAGTGAACAAAATCACCTTTGACCTTACTCATGTCCCCTAAAGGCAGAATGCTGGAGGTCTGGAAATGATGTTTATCAGCAAAATAAGCTGAGAAATAATATGCGAGTGAAATCCAATGTGCCCTCACTGTCTCAAATTCCTATGGAAACACAACAAACAACAATCCATTCAGGCTTTGCACCCAAAAAAGGACATCTTTCTTTTTTTGTAGAGAAGACTCTGCCAATACAAACCTCTGCTTTTCATCTTCCAAGCAATCCAGGGAGCATTGTTATCTCTGGCCCATGACATAATTTTAGAAGCATTGGATCCTCTTCACACAAAATTAATTAGTATATTTTCAAATCATTCTTGAATGTCCTCCTCCCTGTTTCTCTAAATGCTACTTCCACCCACTGTTCACTAAACATAGTAGTTGTGCATGCTCAGCTGTGCTGAAGGCTGTGGTGGGAACATTCCATGAGAAGGCTGCAGAGCAGCAAAGTTCCAGTTTCTGATTTGTCACCCTCTGTGATTTGGGGCAAATAACTCCAACCTCCTAAGCCTCCATCTTCTCATATTTAAGATGGCAGGGGAAAGCTGGGCATGGAGACAAAGGCCTGTAATCCCAGCACTCGAGGAAACTTACTCAGAAAGACCACAATTTTGAGTCCAACCTAAATTGGGAAATAAGCAATTTAGAGAGAAACCTGTCTCAAAATTAAAAAAAAAAAAAAATTAAAGGACAAGGGATGCAACACAGTGCAAAGGTTCTGGGCTCAATCACAAGTACAAAAAACTTTGCAGGGTAAAGACTCTGACCTTTTATGTCTCTGTGCTGGCCTTTTACTCATTTAATTAAACAGAAAATAATATACATGATCTTGAAAAAATTGCATTGAGGAAGAAGAGGAAACCAGCAAGAAGTGAATGGACTTTATGTCATGTGAGCATTGCGGCCAAGATGATTAGAGAACCTTCCAGCAGACACACAACCTTGAGGTCCCTGCAGACACATGGCTAGGAGGATTGCAGCCCAACCTGTAGAAACAGAACTGGGGAGAGAGCACACATCTCCTCACTCAAAGTGCAGTCTGGTTAACTCTCTTGCTGTATGACTTCAGAAAGTCACATTAATATCTCTGATCCTCCATTTCTTCATCTGTGAAAGGAAGGAAATTAGCATAGATGGTCTTTCTCTTCTCTGACACTGTGCTAATGAGACAGCTGTATATTGTTAATTGATAAAGAAGTGGCTCAAAAGAGGATCCATCTGTTTTTAATTAAATTCAATTTGCAACATCTTCATAAATGCTTAGGAGGTAACGTATTAGGAAATACTGAAAACATGAATATTGAATCCATATGGCATTGTGAAAAAGACAGACTCCATTATTCAGAATTAACCTAGTGACTATATTTGGAAATCTAAAGAAGTCAAAATTTACTGACTATCAGAAAAGTGAGAGTGTTTTTAATGGAAATTGAATGCTGGAAGTAGAAGCATCGAAAGGGTTGGAGCCGTACTGGAAGAACGGTGGCGACGGCAGTGTTCCTGAACGAGGGCAGGGTATAAATCTTCTTGCTGTTATGCTTTCACGCTGTAGTCTGAATCAACCTGAATTTTAAACAGAAGATAGAAAATCAATATATTTTTAAAGAAAAGATGTGGGATCAAGGAGGACAGCCTTGGCAACAGTGGCCCTTGAACCAGCAACAATGGATGCAGTCATTCCAGCACCAGCAGGATCCAAGTCAGATTGACTGGGCTGCATTGGCTCAAGCTTGGATTGCCCAGAGAGAGGCTTCAGGACAGCAAAGCATAGTGGAACAACCTCCAGGAATGATGCCCAATGGACAAGAGATGTCTACAATGGAATCTGGTCCTAACAATCATGGGAATTTTCAAGGAGATTCAAACTTTAATAGGATGTGGCAACCAGAATGGGGAATGCATCAGCAGCCCCCACACCCCCCTCCAGATCAGCCATGGATGCCACCAACACCAGGCCCAGTGGACATTGTACCTCCTTCTGAAGACAGCAACAGTCAGGACAGTGGGGAATTTGCCCCTGACAACAGGCATATATTTAACCAGAACAATCACAACTTTGGTGGACCACCCGATAATTTTGCAGTGGGGCCAGTGAACCAGTTTGACTATCAGCATGGGGCTGCTTTTGGTCCACTGCAAGGTGGATTTCATCCTCCTTATTGGCAACCAGGACCTCCAGGACCTCCAGCACCTCCCCAGAACCGAAGAGAAAGGCCATCATCATTCAGGGATCGGCAGCGGTCACCTATTGCACTTCCTGTGAAGCAGGAGCCTCCACAAATTGATGCAGTAAAACGCAGGACTCTTCCAGCTTGGATTCGTGAAGGTCTTGAAAAAATGGAACGTGAAAAGCAAAAGAAATTAGAAAAAGAAAGGATGGAACAGCAACGTTCACAGTTATCGAAAAAAGAAAAGAAGGCCACAGAAGATGCTGATGGAGGTGATGGCCCTCGTTTACCTCAGAGAAGTAAATTTGACAGCGATGAGGAAGATGAAGACCCTGAAAACACTGAGGCTGTGAGCAGTGGAAAAGTCACCAGAAGTCCATCTCCAGTTCAAGAAGAGCAGAGTGAGCCAGAGATGACGGAAGAAGAAAAAGAGTATCAAATGATGTTGCTGACAAAGATGCTTTTGACTGAAATTCTTCTGGATGTCACAGATGAAGAAATTTATTACATAGCCAAAGACACACATCGTAAAGCAGCGAAAGCTCCTGCAAAACAGCTGGCACAGTCCAGTGCACTGGCTTCCCTCACTGGACTCGGTGGCCTGGGCGGTTATGGATCCGGAGACAGTGAAGATGAGCGGAGCGACAGAGGCTCTGAGTCCTCTGACACTGATGATGAGGAGTTACGGCACCGCATCCGGCAGAAACAGGAGGCTTTTTGGAGAAAAGAGAAAGAGCAGCAGCTACTGCACGATAAACAGATAGAAGAAGAAAAACAACAGACAGAAAGGGTTACAAAAGAAATGAATGAATTTATGCACAAAGA